TAATAACTAAATCTAAATATATATAATAATATAAAAGTACAATATTTAAGAAATATGCTAAAACCTATTTTATAACAATATTTCTTTTAATTTTAGAAAATATTAATCTATCACAAGTTTTTTTCACTAATCTTTTATTTTTTTTGAAAAAATAGAAAATCTAGATTCTTTCTTACAAAAGATTAGTATTATTTATCTTTTCTATTTTTAGAAATATTTTATAAATATGTAACTTCATATAGTAAATAAAGTTACAAACTTTGTTTATTATTAGTCTATAATATAATCTTAATATTACAAGTTTTAAATCATAAAGATAGATTATATATTAGAAAAAGAATTACTTGAGATAGATTATAAGTTATATAATTTAAAATTTTTAAACCTAATTCAAGTTACAAGATATTTGATTACTTTTTTTTAGTTTCTATATATATTCTATTCTTTTTATTATATTACTACCTAACAAAGTTTTTATGATTTAAGACAAGTTTTTCTTTGTTAGTAAACTTAATGCTTTTAAATTAGTAATAATTTTTATTTTTTCTATTTTAAGATTAGATATTAACTATTTGAAACTTAGTATTAATTAGGTTAGAAAAAACCTAGAATCTTATAAAACCTAAAGTTACTTTCATTAATCCAAAGATAATATCTTTATTGAGAAAAATTACTGCAGAAAAAAAAATGACTTCTGTAATAAATTATATCTAAGCACCAATTAGTAGCTAAATAAATCCTGAATTGCAAAGAAAAGATATAGTTATTGTTTGGTTTTAGAATTTATATAATTTATATCTTGTATATCTTTATAATATTTCTTCTAATAAATAATAGGTAAAATCACTCAAATGAAAAAAAAAATATATATTAGTTATATTATATATTTTATTACTGTATTAGTGATAACTAGCTTATATAGTAGATAACTTGTTATATTTCTAATATTTTTAAAAATATAAAAACAACAAATATAAACCTTAAGTTCAATATTGTGTTTTATACAATTTTAACTAATGATTTGAACCAAGAAAAAATTCCTTAGTTGGGTAACCGAACTGAAATATTTAATGTCAACCGATTGCAACCGATTAAGATTATTTAACACTTTACCTTCGGAAGTTCTCGGACCTTTACTCAAAATTTTATGTTCATTCATTTTCTTTTCGAAAGTTCTCGGACCCTAATAAAATAAATTACCAGGGCAATTGATTTACACCAGCCAATCAGACCTATGACTTCATACTTGATATCAAATTTTTACGCGTCAAATGTATATATATTTTTTATTTAAGTGAAATCGCGCGTTATTTTAAAAAAAAATGTCAACTACAAGTAAAGACCAACGAAAAAAAAAAAAATGTATGATATGGTTAATGTGTTACATCTTGATCTTAATATTTAATAATTTTAACGATAATTATTATTTTTAGATCGTTCTGTTCAATCACGTTTTATGCAAAATGTTTTCAAGCCGACCATAAATAATCGTCTTGGAAATGAGGTTGGTTTTCCTAATATATATGAGTAAGCTTTATTGTATTTCATGTATTGCACAACTATGAATACCAAACTTATTTAATTATTGATTAGAAAGTTGGACAAACAAACGCAACTCGCATCAGCTCGGTAGAAAAAAATCAACCAGTGATTAGTTTAGATGATGAGTTAACAATGTTGAATGCTAGATTAACACAATGGTGTTTCTTGAACGCTAAAGCAGATCACGCATTTGAATGTCAAAAACGATTTGCAGAGGTAAAATAATCATAGCAGACGTATAAGAACAAATCGAATAAATTTACAAAAAAATTTTTAATTATTTAGACTCAATTAATGTATGCATGGAAATTACTTGTCAAGAAACAAGACGAATTATCAAATGCCTTAAGAAGTTTTTCTCTAAAAATGGATATTTCGAAATTGGATACAACTTTAACTTTTCAGGTAACACGAGGATTTAATACTTTTTAATGAAAGGAATGAATATAATTTTAAAATTTAATATTAATAATGGTCATAGACGAATTTGTTATTACAAATAAGCGAACATTTGGAACATTTTAAAACTCGTTATGTTGAATTTGCATCATCTTTGGCAAGCACCACAACCGCAATGCCAATTGCTAATATATTAACAGGAGAATTAGGTAAATAATTTTTTTTCCGCTATACTTTTTATTATATACTTAGTTTAACTATCCTTTGTTTTTCAGATCAATTATCAGAAGAAATAAATACTTGTTCTAATGCTGCAGCTGATTTATTGAAGAAGTGGGAAGAATCATCAATGGTAAGAAAATTCATCAATTAATATTAAGATTTTGATGGTTTATAATGAATAAATATATTGAAAATTTTTAACTATATTTTAAAAGGTCCATGATATCGCTAATTTAATGCGAAAACTCTGCATCAATCTTAAGGAAGAGATCCAAGAGTTAAATGAATGTAATGCACTTTTACGTGAAATTTCTGATGCAGAAATAATTGAAACTAGTTTAAGAATTGAAAAGATCGAAAACATGAGAAAATCTTAATCAGAATAGTTTAAAAAAAAATTTAATAAAAAAATTGAAATTCATTATCAAAAAATTATTATTCGATTCGAAATTAAGGAATCACTACTAACTTTGACAAATCAAATACGCGTCAACTGGCTTGATGTTGAAATAAAAGAAAATCCAAGAATATCATTTTGGAAGATATACCATAAAGTATTTGTTTAAAGAATATATACAAAGAACTTATAATAAGAAAATTCACTCGTCGATTTCAATGATTTATACTCAAGTTTGAGTATATTCTTTATTCTCAAAATAAATTCAAACAGATTGCTAAAAAAATACAGCTCAAAAGTTCGTCGTTAATACTTGGCACATCCCATTATGTCTTAATTAACCAGTTCTTGCAGGTGATCTTGAACCAGATCCTCTAGTTGGTACGGGAGCTCCAGGTTGTTGACGAAATTGAGCTCTGAATTGTTCACGACTTCTCTCTTGAGCTATAATTATTTGGTAATTTTTTAGTACTTTTTTTAACAGTCAGTAGAAAATAAAAATCATGCACGTACGGTTATATTGAAGTAATTTCGTGATCAAATCTGTATGAGTCAAGATCATACGTCGACAACAGTATCTCTGAAGTCCGATCGCGTCCATTGCAGCTCTTAGGTAAAAAGTTAGTAACAGTGTACTGAAAGCAGTTCTAGAAGGACGCATTGGATCTTGCAGTTACCCTTCATTATAATCACTCTCTAGCATGGTTTGATATGTTTCCCATTTATTTCCAATGACTTTACCACAGGAGAAGCATCGTACTGGAATGATCATTTTAGCGAATTTATGTTTGAGAAAAGTACAATCAAAACGATATTTAAATAAGTGCACCCCACCTGATTTCACCCGACAATTTTAGCCAATCAGTGTCAGTTATGTAGAATTTACACAGAGGATCAGTGTACCGTAACATTCATTAAAATAGCCAAATTACTAATTGATCGCTTTGGTCCAGCCTTTGACCGGGAAAATTGAGTCATGTATAAAGTTATGCAAGCTTCCTAAAAAAGTATTATAAATTGATGGGACGGTTCCCCTGTTTATGCTGTCATACTGTAATGCTTTTATAAGAATTATTCGTATTTTTAGGTTCATTCCATTTCCACTTTTGTGAATTTCCGGATTTCGGAATGGCAGCATAACTTTGAAAGAATCTTATACGTATATTAATGACGAACAAAGTACTACGTACTTGTATTCCTAAGATCAGTCTTATTCATTATCCCTGAGATTTATATTTCTGATCTAATTAATTTTGATTTCAAATGTAGAAAAAGTTCTTTTACATATAGAGACGACCTTAAGAATTATGAACCAAAATAAAAAAATTCGATCTGATATTATAAGTAGACAACTTATTTTAGCAGTTTAGCTGATTTTTTTTCGTAATCGGCCGGGATCACTACACACTTCTTCTGATTCCTCACGGAGGCTTTGGTTTATATTTCTTGACCAATTTTGACTAGAGTATATACTTTCCAACTAGGGCTAGTGCATATCTGTAATTGCATAATCTGCGTATAAACCTAACATTTATTGCAATTGCATAATTCTCATATTTTAAAGAATTTGCAGAATTTTGGGAGCCCTACTTCCAACCTAAAAATTTGTCAAATTAATTGGTACATACAGACAATGAACTCTTAAATTCGATGCGTTTTCGAAAATACTTTTATAAATAAGAATATTATTCGAATAAGCCAATACACAAAAGCGTATAACAGATAACGATTAATATTACGTAAAGGTATACAGTATCTCATAATAACGATAATATGTATAAACAAAAAATAGATGTTTATTTTTAATACACCAAACTTAAATTTAGTAAATTTATTTAAAATGCGCATGATTATTTGTTATAATTCATGTATTATATTTGTTATATTAACAGATTTGGATCAAATATAAAGACTTTTGTTCACCATTTTTAAAACGCGGCCTACAAAAAACGCGAAGTCGGGTATATACAGTTTTGTATATTTTTCTATGCTATATAACCCGATGCTCGATGCATTAGTGCATAGTTTTTGCACTTTTTTATATCATTACTTTCATACTATATATACTCTTCTAATTTCTAATTTTATTCTAATAAAAATGTCGGCAGGTATATTTCGAATATATAAATTTGCTTTAAAATCGCATACAAATTTAATAAAATTCATTCCACTAATGTCACTGTTTCATCACATAGATTCCTTAAATTCTCTAGATTCACTAGAGGTTCTAGAGACCGTTGTTAACGAGGAATGTGCTGCTCTTCTCGAAGCCGAAAATATAAAAAACGAATCTATCCTTATAAAACTTCAAAACTTTATACGCAAAATGCTCGAATACATTCTCTCATTTTTCAAAAACGTGCCTAAAAATCCTGTATCAGCCGTTTCATCATTAAGAAAGCCAAAAAATGACACAAAACTTAAAATTTTTATTGGAACATGGAACATGCATGGAAAAGTAAGTATATAAAATTTTTAATTCGATATTTAAAAATCCGATCTTTATTTTAAATCTGAATATCTATTATTTATTGATAGCTCCCTCCATATAACCTTTCACCTTTTGTTGAAAATGTAGAAGTTAATTCTAAAAATTTTAAAAAAGAGACTCAACGTGCTCCTCTACTTACTCGAAATATACGACATCCATATCATATTTTAGTAATTGGAACACAAGAGTGTCAACATAATATCAAACATTCTGTATTATTTCCTTCAAAAGAGGAATGGGAATCAAGGTTAACTGAATATCTGGGAGATACTTATGTTCTAATTAAAACTGAAACGATGGCTGCATTACATTTGGTAAATTAATTAACAATACAATACTTATCAAATTTCTTTATTAAAATAAATAATAGAATTTATTTAATTATACGTACAATAATATTTAGGCTGTATTTGTGTGGCGAGAATGTGAAAATTGGGTTCAAGGTATGTCTTTGTATTCATTATTTGAAACTTTATTAAAATTTATTGTGATACAGTAATATCTTATTTTTATTTTAAATAGGTTATCAACATGATGCGGTTGCAACTGGATTAGCTAATTTGTTTGGAAATAAAGGTGGCATTGGTATTTCATTATTATTTGGTAATACTTCTTTCTGTTTTATAAATAGTCATTTAGCAGGTTTGTAATTTTTATTTAACCGAAATTTATATGAATATTTTAAATTTTTTTTTTCGTTATTTATTTTATTTATTTTTATTTTTATAACTTTAGCTCACCAAAGTAAAGTTAAACAACGAAATCATGATGTGAAAAAGATATCTAAAGAATTAAAATTAAAGGGTTTTAAGCCAGAAGACAAATGTATGTTTTGCAATCTGTAATTTACGGATCTATCTTAAAAAATCTTAACAGATAATCTTGAAAGACAAAATCTTAGCAAATTTGGTTAGAATTATAATTAATTCTAGCCAAATTTGTCAAGATTTTTAGATAGATCCTTATTATTGATTTTTTATTTATGAAATATCTAAAATATATTTTATTATTGCTTAAAGCTCAAGTCAATGTTACTGATAGGTTTGACTATACATTTTGGTTTGGTGATATGAATTATCGCGTCGACTTACCAAGAGAAAAAGTCGATAAATTAATTGTCAAAAAGGATTTAGCTGTAAGTATATATTTTATAGTTAGCTCATGATAAAATACATAACAAGTGATTAACAAACATAATATATAATTAAATTATAAGACCCTCCTACGTTATGATCAATTAAGACTAGAACTTTCAAGCCTCCCCCATTTCTCTGGTTTCAACGAACACCAAATAGATTTTTATCCAACTTTTAAATTTGATATAACCCATCGTACAAGTCATAATAATCAAGAAAACCCTCCACTATCACGTAATTTGTCTTCGCCAGCATTAATTGAATCGAATCCATTGAAATATGATTCAGGGCCAAAACAACGTGTGCCAAGTTGGACAGACAGAATAATTTTTAAAACACGTTTACCATCTAAATGTGGTAGTAAAAAAAAAATTGAAGTTGGAAAATATACAAGTCATATGAATATTTTGGGATTTTCAGATCATAGACCTGTTACAGGTTGCTTTTTTGTGGACTTTGATTGGAAATTAGAACAAAAATTATTAGAAGATAAAAGGGAAAGATTAGAACAAGAACAAATGGACAATGTTAGTATTCATAGTGTTAATAGTAGTGATAGTTCTAAATCCGGTTCTAGGATAAGAGGTATTGGTGCCACGAAAAAAAAGTATTACAGGAAGAAATTTCTATTTTTTGGAAAATTTTAAAAAAAAAAATCCCTAACATTATTTCCCTTCTTAGTACTCACACTATAGGAACTTTTAAATTTATATTTAATTACTTCGTTCTTATTTATTTAATTTCCTATTCTCTTAATCTTTTATGGCATTATAAACACAATATACATACTTTGATAAATGGTGTTAATAATGATTATAAAACACTCGAGACAATTTGATGTATAAGCTTATATGTATGTACAGTATATATCATATTTACCTATAAATCTAAATTCACTTAATATTTTAATGCAATATCAAAATCCTAACAATAAAAAATAATAGGTATTAATTAATTGATTAGGAGTAAATCAATTCTTTTTTTTATTACCTTTATTTTAATAATGATGAAATATCACACAACGCAATATATACAAGCATACAGTAGATGAATTTACTATAATTTATGAGTAATTATAAGATCATTTCTTTCAAGCAGTAGAGAAAAAAGAGTGTAAATATCGAAAGGCTCTAAATAAAACATTGTTATTCACAAAAACGTTAAAGAATATATAGACTTCATTATCATTGACAAAGTCAACAACATTTGTATATTTAATTATAAAATGGATACAAATAAAACGTGCATCAATAATTTTGTTTTGATTAAAAATACCCAAAAATTATTAATATCATAGACCAACAATAAATAATATAAATAACTCGTAAACATATAATGTGGTTAAAAATACACAAACGTTAATCCTACCCAATTTTTGTTCTCTTGGAGGCACCATTTATATCATCACAATTATTATCATCTACTGTGTGATATGTCGACAGTGTACGTCTGGTACCAGAATTTAATGTTTCTTGGAAATATGTAGGGGGTTGACCCCATTCACTTGATGAATTATTTGTATTCCCAAAATCACAATCTTCCCTCAAATTATCTTTTAAATATCCCCAAGTCGATAATTCATCTCGAGGTATTTGAAAAGGTTCTTTATATTCAAATTCTATCTCTTCAATATGATCATCATATGTTTCATCTTTTATGTCTGAATATAGATAAATTAAATGTGAATTTTACTATAGCTATCTTTCGAAATTTTTAATATCGTATAATTACAAAAGTATATACCATCAACTGATATATTATCAGTATCTTGAGACTCAATTACATCTGTATCCTCCTCTTCTGCTTGTAATATTGTTTGGATCCAATTACCCCATGACTGGATATAAATTTCACCCATTTCCTTCGTAATACCTTTTTCTTGTGCTAAAACATACTTTTTACCGCCCTCTAGAAACTCTGAGAACATCTTTGATTTACTCAAGACACCAAGTGGAACTTTATTTACTTTCTTATCTTCTTTAACCGTAAGCCAACAATGTGTATCATCAATCCATTGGAAAAATATATTTCCAAATTCTTCGAAAAGGACATTCATTGTTGCTTTAGAACAAGATGCTGGAATTTTTGATATCAAGAATCCATTTGTTTTGGTGGGAGGAACTAATCATGAAACAAATAAATAAATTTATTTAAAAGTAAAAAAGAATTATACAAGTATGTAGGTAAAGAATCACTTACATCCATCATCTCCATCCAAATTTATATATTTGAAATCTGATTTCAATAAATGTAATTTATTAAAATAACGCGTCAATTTTTCGGCTGACATCATATATTTAAATAAATTCGTTTCTTCTTCTTCATGCTCTGGTATGATTTCCGTATCTTCATTTGTTGAACAATCACCCAATACATTGGCATAAACATCAATTTTCTCTTCTATTATATATAAATAAAGATACTTAGTATGACTTGTTAATATCTTGTTAATATTGACAATGATGAATAACTCTTTACCTTTTTGGTGAAGAATAAATACAGCCAATCTGATAAAGTTATACCCAGTAATATACGCGTCGTAACCGGCCTCATGATTTTTATTTTCATCATTGAACGTATATCTAGTAAACTTAGGATCCAGAACTAACATAAAAAAATATATATATAGATTGGTTTAAAAAAACAAGTGACTTTTATAGATAATCCAATGATTATAAAAAATAACATACCAACTTTCGGAGCTAAATTTTCAAATTGTTCGTCTTGAACGACATCTAAAATATCCTGAACGCTATTTCTTGGTAGCAGCAACTAAAATAATAAAATCCAATAAATGTTGAAATTAATAAAAACCTCAAAAAAAAAAAAAAAAAAAAAAAAATCATGTTAAACAATTCTTACCTGTAATTTGCGGTGTGTCGCTGCCAGATGTTTTGTGTCAATAATTCTATGATTTCATAATTAATGAACATCTTTTTAATTAAAAAAAATTAGAAATAAAACGGTATAATGATGACTTACACTTCAAATAATCCATGCACGAGCTTTTTCCAATCTTTCAACTTCTCTGGCAGATCACTCCAAAATTGATGAATAACTTGACAAATATCCAAAAGACAATTATGACCTACCAGAGGTTTTTTTGATTGTACCAACAGCTCAATAATAGTTCGAAAATTTATACTGGCATCTAAAGCCTGAACAAAAAAAAAAAAAAAATATTTTTTAGTTACTTATGCTGCTAGAATACGCTCTTATATTAGTTGTCTGAAGTTTACTTCAGCAGCATCGTCTTTTGTTTTTCTCTCCTTTTGTTCATCTGACAACTTTTCAATCATTATGCATTTAGGCCTGCTCTCTGCAGAGATGAGTCTGCCGAACCTACGTATCAAACATCAATATTTAATATGAGAATAAATATATAATCAATTAATTAATGCTTTACCTAGCCCTAATTTCTTGAAAGATTAAGCGTTTCTGGCTAATAAGTGGAGTTGATAGTTTCAACTGTTTAGTATCACTGCTGTCTAACCACGCTTCAATTGAAGCACTAATTTAATAGATGACACCACAAATCAGACTAAGTAAATACATCCATAAGAATCAAAGATTTATTCTGAGAACCTTTAAAACATTAATATCAAACGAATTTGATAAAATTGTTAAACTCACATTGCTTTATCTACGAAAACTTTAGTTTCATCATCTGGTGGACTGTCTAAGAATATAAAAATATAATTAATTTATTACTATTTAAATATCAATAAATAAATAAATAAAAATGTAATATGATGTTACCCGTTTGCCTTTGTGCAAGATCAGCTTTTCTTTGTAAAAGTTTTTCTTCTTCTGTATGATTCAAATATGGCATTCCTTAAGCATAATTGAGTATATATAAAATATAAATAAAATTAAAAATCTTCATTAAAGTATCAGTAAAAAAAAATTTTTTTTTTTTTTTTTAGTAAATTTTAAATTACCTTGAGAAATCAATTTGTTAAAATCAAAACCCCATTTCATTAAGAAATGTAAACTCGATCCACTACACATAAAGCAAACATCACTTAATTCCCTTCTATCAGCATTTGCTGGAAATATATAGAAATTAAAGGGGCGAGCAATAAAAGTATCCTCTTCATATGAATATGTATAGGTACATAGGCCAAATTGAATAATAAGGAACTAAAATCATGGAAAAAAAAAAAAATTAGCACGTTAATGTTACATAAACGCGGTCATTATACCGGATATGACGCGTTTAACTTGCCTTGGTAGCTGCCGCTCGAAGCTTTAAATATCTTGATTGCGGATCATCAAAACTTTTAATTCGTTCAATTTGCTCACTAAGCCCTGTTATTTAACACGTAAAAATAGAATAAACGTTCAATATATATATTATTATTCTAACGTTACCATAGCTTTCCTTGCAGACCTACCTGTCAGCTCAGTATCTATAGCTACAAAATCGGCCCCTTCAATAGCCTCTTTAATAATTGGCAAAAGTTCATGAAAATTATTTTTGAGAACCTCCATCGTATTAATTATAAAGTTTTCAATGTGCAAACTTTAAAATTTTTTGAATTTATATGGCATCAAAAAATTTGATCGATCAATGTTTAGCCAATCATGTTCCAACACGTCCATCTTAGCATTGATATAAAAGACTTTTTAAGGTCTTCGATTAATTAATACAGATAGAAATGTATAATCTCCTTCAACGTGCTAATGCGATCTTCGCTTTTGCGATGACAGTCACATTCGGTGTCCTTGGAGCAATAGCGATAGTGACACCATTTTTACCTTCCTTCCCTTCAGCTCAAGTTAATGTTAAGGACATACAAGTTATTTCGTATGATTATATGTCTCAAGGCGAGAGCGAGTTTGCATTTGTGAAAATAAATCTCGATGCTGGTAAATTTTTTAAAAAATTTATTTCTTTATACACCTCGTGTTTAAATGCTCAATACATTTTCTTTTTTATTTGATTTTTAAGATTTAACCTCTCTATTTAATTGGAACACAAAGCAATTATTTGTCTCAATTGTGGCAGAATACGAAACTAAATCACACGTTCGTTAGATTCAATATTTTATTTGATCTAATAATTTCCAACGCACTTTTTAATAATATTTAATATTATATAGGATCTTAATCAAGTGGTTTTATGGGATTCGATCATCCAGTCAAAAGATGAGGCACACATTAAAGTCTCAGATTTACATAATGAGTATAACTTTGTTGATATCACAACAAGCTTTCAGTAAGTTTATATTCATAAGAATTTCTTGTTTTTTTTTTTTTTTTCTTTATATAAATAAATATAAATAAATAAATATTTTATTTTTAAAATTAAATGAATGCAACATATTCCCTACATTGTTCTGTAATGCCATTTGTGGGTATGTTAATAAATGGGCGAACGAGACCTAATAATGTTGTTAAATTTCCTACACGATCAAATAGGTAGAAAAATTAGTTAAAATACAATGTTATTAAGTAATATAATTAATTCGAATCGATATAATTTTGTATTATAAGAAAGGACTATTTCTATCTATTTTTTGATTTTGGCATATTATTTTTTTTCTTGCAACGGATAACTGTTACTTTGTTCTAAATCATTTTCTCGCGACTGATTGATATACTATTAATGAGCTGAACGAGCTGTTCAATTCTTTTTTTTTGCAAGAGCTCAATTTGTTCTTATGATTGTGATTCATCATTTACCTTTGTAAGAACATTAAAACGTCTATTTATATTAACTAATGTAAAATTAGATGTTAGATATTTTAATAATATTAAAATAGATCGTTATTGTAAAATTCAATAAAAAAAAATTTTTGATTTAATTCTATATAAGTTACTGTATATTTAAATTAAATTCTATATGTCTAAAAAAAAAAATTTGCAAATTTGATTTTCTCGATTTTTATTGGTTAATTAAAATAAAAAACCACGTGTATAAAACCAAAACTACCAGACCTTTTAATACTTTTAATCCTTAAAACCTTCATAGTTTCTATTTCCCTCGTATACACGTATTCAATCCCTATTTTCTTAATATATACACGTATTAAACAAAATTAAATCCTCTTTACGCGTATTAAACTAGTGTTTTGAGTAAACCTAGTTTTTCAAATTCAGGTTAGTATTTTTGCATATTGCTTTTAATAGTTAGAAAGGAACTGGAAGCGCGTCGTGGCCACAGTTTGCGAAA